CCAGTCAGAATCTCTCAAGTCCCAAACCACTAACAAGAACACGTTCATGGTTTTGTTTCTTCCACAAGATCAGCAACTCCTGATCCAAAATTTCTCACAATATAATCATAGGCCATGAATGAATCATCTATCATGTAAAATCCCAGCTACAACAACGGTTGAATTAGCTCATGCTAGCTAACAACATGGTAGCCTCAACACAATGTTGCAAGTAAGGATCACCATTTGCTCCTATCTGATTAAACAATCCATAACATTTTCTCTCTACGCTTTTTTGAATAAACAATCCATTACTCTCACGACTTTAAAAACACCTCTAATTTTGCTTGTTATCTGACTAATAATCATGTTCTATGTACAGATGTACTTATCAACTCTATGAAACTCATCTCCCTATTTGCGTTAAGACGATTGTAAAACATAGAAAACCATAGTTTCATCGGTGTAATGATGATGATGATTGATGCCAAATGTTACTTACTAAGATCCCATTGTAGTCCAATGGTTGTGGTTTTGGCAGATGCGGTTCCAATAGGGATGAGTCCCATAGTGAGGACATTCGAGAGAAGACTTGGAATTATTTCATGTCGATGAGCATGTGGACCGATTTGGATGAGGAGGCCTGGCCATCACAAGATAAAAATAATTATCTTTGTGTCTGGATATCTATATAAGATGTTGAGAAAACTGAATTCACGTTTAACTCTTCCACCGAGTGCACGTGGCAAGAATAGGGAGCTAGCCGAAGAAGAAAAAGGTGAAAATGTTTAGGACTTTATTTATGTAGAACCCCAAAAAAAAAACCAAGCTTTCGTCTAGGAATATTGAAAAGCAACTTACATTAGCACCCTCTTCGTTAAAAGAAGAACCATGGATAAACATGATTCATTTATCAAGATCTGTGGTATCTTGATCATGAGATTCAACAATAACCTTAGTTCCCTGAAAAACGAGACAGACTTTGTTGAATCTAACAAAGGCATGAACCTTTAACAAAACAGAACTTCAGGACCCAAACAATCTGATATATGCATAATAATATACTCATAATGCAAGAATGACAACACAATTAGATCATAAAACTCGAGGACATGACGCGGAACATAATCCATATCTCGCTTGTTAACATCAGACTAAGGCATTAATACATTATGTTTTTTCCAAGTTCATAAACGTAACAGCATATCCACTTTCTTAATAGAAGTGAAGTGAAGTGAAAAGATCATTCTCAGGTCTTTCTTAGATGTGTATATGCATCTAAGTTTAATATATAGTCTGTCAGCATTCTATGAAGTGTTATTATACAATCTATAGCTTAATTTAGGCATTTTCAAGGGAATGATAATTCAAATTTAACCACTAAACTAAAAATGAATGCGAGTCTCTCTCAAGTCTCATAATTTGCAGACGAATTTTAGAAATCAAACTATCAGAGTTACAGAGGGCTTAAGCTCCGAATTGAAATAAAAAAATTCCTCCTCAAGTATTGTTGAGATCTTGAGATTTAGTCTGATAAATTTATTCCATAAATGCGAGAGAGAATGAAGGTTTTTCAAGAAAAAACAAATAAAATCCAACAATACAGACTTTCATAATGGGTGCAAAAGAATATTACCTGGACTGGTACAAACTTCTTTCAATCAACCATTTAGCTTGCAATGGTAAGTGCAGATTGTCTTACTGTCATTCTCAATGGTATTTTAAAAACCACTTGCAACGAGTAAGATTTTGAATCAGTATATACAAGTACAACAACATAAAGATTTTGAATCAGTATATACAAGTACAACAACATAAACAATGTGGGCCACAGACATAATTACTAAATCCTTGTGTTAGAGAAGTTACACTTTAATAATGCTTTTGCTTGTGAGAGGACTTTGTATAAGAATAGCTGGTCCAAAATAGAAACAATGAGGTGATGAGAATTAAGGCTAGTTTAGAATTATTTAAATAAGGAGTTAAGGAGACAGATATGGTATTTCTATAACTGTTAGTCAGTTTTGAATCGTTTGTTCAGGCTCTGCAACCATGTGCATACAGTATGATTAGGAGGTGGAGAAATTCAATCGAGCATGATCATCTTAAGAAAGAGGAACATATGCAACCAAAGATGTGATTCATGTATCATGACGAGTGGGATTTTTCTTATAAGATGTTATTTGTTATACGAAAGAGCCTCTACACCTACTATAAAGCTCCCTACCATTGCTTGTTTTTTGATTTAAGCACAAAGTAAACATAAACTCTCATGTTATGAGTCTACTTCAAAATAATGCGCCTAGCTCTTTGGTTTACTGGTGGAACTGAAAAGTGAGATGTCAGAATTTAACCAACCTGGACAAGACCGGCTGCTTTTGAGAGTCCAGCTAGTCCTCCACGGTCGCCTGGTCCTTCAAGGGCATCACTTTTTAGGTTGAAATCCATCCCTTTATAAACATATTTCATAAATGAAATGAACCCACGAAAGAGAGTATCTCAAAATAAAACCCCAGAAACATGTGAACGAAACCCAAACCCACCTGAGAGAATACTCATTCTTTTAAGATTCATATATGACCACTCAAGACAATAGAGCATTCAGACCTCACTCATGTCTTCTTCACATAAGAGAAGGAGCTGAAACTGTACTACCCAAAACGATTTCGTTTAATGTGGATTCCTCAAGGTGTTGATTTTTTTCATTTGCTTGTGTAGCAAGGAACATTGAAAGAAGATGCATAGATACTAGGGTTTAGAAATGGTTTGTTTCAATATACTTTTCCTTTGATGCTTGTAACGAAAGGCTTGTTTCAATAGACTTTCGTTTTGATTCTTGTAACGAAAAGAACATAGAAAGAAGATGCATAGATATTAGGGTTTAGAAATGGTTTGTTTCAATAGATTTCCTTTAATTCTTGAAGATATGATATCGATTTAGTTTCTCATTTTGGTTCTTTTTTTTCACGTTCTCATTACACAAGGCAGACGCAGCAAACAATTAACTTGGCATGCATTCATAGAATACATAAATCTGGTAAATTTAATATAATATATATATTCATCATGTATGCACACAAACAACATGGAAAGAGTTCCAAGCAGAAAGAAATAAGTTCAACATTCTTGACATTAAAAAGAAACTCTCATCAGAAAAAGAGGGCAGGAAACAATGCACACACACTGACTCGGTTAAAACGCGGTAATAGCAGAGAACAGGAGAAACTACTGATGGATCCTTTCGTGCTCATCTCATTACTTCAGTACACTGCAGAAGACAAAGGTTTGTTTCGTTAAACAAGTTTTTGTCTTGTTTTTTAGAGTATATTAACTGTGTCTGATGAGAGAAACTTACTTGTATAAGTATGCAGCGATACCAAGAACAATACACAACAAAACAATATCGATACAGAAGTTCCGGCTTGATCTCAACTGCAACAAAATGGCCATGTTTTTTTTTTTTATGTTAGGAACCAAGAACAGACCGATCTGGCTGAGAGTGAGAAAAAGGTTCCAAATTCAAATTACCTGGTTCACGGTATCCTTAAGTCTAACATTGGTGTTCTTAAGATCCGAGGTTGCTCTGTCCACCTGTGAGCGAGTTCAGAAAGTTTAGATTACAACTGATGAATTTAGAGAAAGAAAAAGGAAATGGGCAGAGTATTATACCTTTGTGTCGATTTCATCCATCAGAGGAACTTGCCTATCCAGTTCCTGCAGGAATCAGTGTTGTGACATGGATCATCAGCACAAGTATTGAATAAGGGAACTATGTTAACAGATGCACTATAACAAACTCACCTCGTTCATATCAGAAGCCATGTTCTTCAAAGCATCTAAACCTTCGGAGATCATGTCCAGACCTTGTTCCTGATTTACATTCAGGTAGACAAGTCATATATATAGAACCACCAGAGACAACATAAGTGAAGAAAAGACTAGAGTGCAATGAGATAAAATTTCACTTGCCTGCTTCATTTTCCGCATCTCATACTCCTGTCTGAATTGGCTGGATTCATGTGATTCTTGAAAGTAATCATCATCGAAATTCCCATCTAACATCCACCATACAAGTGACTTAGTGATCTTGAAACTCAAGTTCCTCATACGACAACAAATAATATAAAGAGTTCATATTATTCTGAGATAAAATTCCATCTAAAAGAGATAAGCAAAGTTGCTTCAGTTGAATTACCTGAATCAAATTTGATGTCAGGACGAGATGCTGATGAGGGAGTCCAAGCACTCGTATTTTTAGGACCACCCGCTGTCCCATCAGGTATGGCTTCAATCCTGGCTGGAAGCGCAAGCACCAAATCATTTCTCGCAGCAAGCTCTTCAGTTGTAAGGCCCTTAACCTGAAAAATGTATAGATGGTCACCGAGCTTGAACAAGTTAGTCCTTCAAACAGAATTTAGTCTATATCAACCTCAAAGGAAGCAATGTGGTTGAACGTATGAGACGAAGTGTAAAACATGATAAAAGGAAGCTTACCCGCTTAACAGCAACTCTCTGCAACTTGGGAACTTCCTCAGACAATCGAGCCTTGGTCCGGCGGATCTCAGCGTTCATTGCAACAGCAGAAGCCCTATTCTTCTCCTTGGTAACTAGCTCAGCTTTCTGCGAATCAAAATTACATGTCAACTCCTCACTCGAAATTTCAAAGAAGAACCTTTAAAGCAACTTGTGAATCATTCTCAAATCAGAATCAATACAGAGAACATAGATAAGGTTAAGACATTCAAAAACTCTTCACCAAAACTCGGTCACTATATCCAAAATTCGGGACCCAATTTCAAGATTTTCACTAAAATTGGACTCATGCATATTTTCCCCATTATCAAATTCTATGTTCGACATTGTCAAGTACACTCCTTTGAAAATCAACCGAGATTTATCCAAACCGAATCAAATCAAGCAAAAACTTAAAAGAGAAACAATCACCTCGAGAGCGGTCTCGATTTGGGTCTCGAAAGCTCCATAGAGACGAGCAAAGGCATCATCACCGGAGACATTAGCCTCCCGTTGTTTGTCTACATCGTACTTGTCGTACTTCTTACAGATCGAGTCAACTCTAGTCAGAAGATCGATTACAGTCATCTTCTTCCAAATCTATAACCAGAAGCTCCTAGATCCGAAATCTCTGATCCGAAGAAGAGGAAGAAGACTTTAATTTTTTGTGGAATTTTGAATCTCTTTCTGTTCGTGCCCGAAAGCTGGAAGTGGTTCGGCGACGAAAGAGCCTGCAAAGAAACTTACAGCCTGGATAATAATTTCTGTATGACCACCCCTACTTTTGTTTCTTTTACATTGACCCCAAAAAGCTTCCGAGAGCCAAAAGAGTCCTAATTTGGGTTTCGGACCTATATAATTTCCCCAAGAATTTATGTACTGAGTAAAAATGTGTTGGAAAATGTATTTTTAAAAGAAAATAAGATTTTGACC